ACTACTCCTACTCCTACTGCTACTGCTACTGCTACTGTTTCTGCTACTGCTACTGCTACTGCTGCTACTGCTACTACTGCTACTACTGCTGCTGCTGCTACTACTACGACGACGACGACGACGACTGCTACTACTACGATTACCTCCACGACTGCTGGAAACCCATAACCCTTGCATCCTACACCCTGGAACCTTGAATCCAAGACGGTTTAGGGTTTAGGTTTAGGGTACGTGAAGCCCCTGTAGGAAGGCAACAAACCACGAAAAAGCCACCAACACCACGGCCACCCACATCACGGCCCCGATCTCCAAAACCCTGAAGCCCTGAACCCCATAAATCTCTCATGAGGAGGCCTTCTTAGAACTCCTAGCAGGCTCCATTTATACGCCAGAAGCCTGAAGAAGGAGTCCTCCCCAACCCCGTCTAATGGAGCCTCATCAGAGTGCCCTTCTAGTACCTTTAAAAAAGAAACCCTGTCATAGAACCGCATCATAATCACCCTTAAAATAACACCCAAACCCTAAATCCTAAACCATCCTAAACCCCTAAACCCTAAACCATCCTAAACCCCTAAACCCTGAACCCTGAACCCTAAACCTTAAACCCTAAACCCTAAACCCTAAACCCTAGAAGCCCTAAGCCCGAAACCCTATATAATGGGGGGATCCTTCTCGGCTGGACGCTGCGAGGCCGGTCTTCCCATCACTGGAGACGACCCGCAGGCCTTAAGGCGTTTAGGTGGGAGGGAGCTTCAGGGTTTAGGGTTTAGGGTAGTTGGTTTAGGGTTCTGAGGGTTTAAGGTTTTAGGGTTTAGGGTTTAGGGCTTAGAGTTTAGGGTTTAGGGTTTAGGGGTTTAGGGTTTAGGGTTGGGAGGGAGCTTCCGGAAGCGGTTAAGGGTTTTGGGTTCGCAGTCTTCTGCGGTGCTTAAAGGGCATGGGGGGGGGGCTTTAGTGTTTTAGTGTCTTGAGTAACGAATCTGCATTGACTCATATGAGGGAGGACTTCCTGAACCCCCAAGGACTTACAGCAAGGAAGCCATAACAGAGAACCCTACCTGTGTAGGTTTCTGGGGGCCCAAGTATACCCTAAACCCGAAACTCGAATTTCAACTGCTAGAGTCTCTAGCATCAAGGCTCTCAGATTGAAGGCTAACGGGTCAGGGCTGTAGGATTTGTTTAGCGTTTAGGGTGTAGCGTTTTGAAGTTAGGGACGATTCAGGGCTTAGGGCTTACTGGAACATATGGCCTACCAATTCGGGCAGACCTTGGTCACTCACGCCAGGTAGGCTGAACCCGAAACCCCGAAAGCTTGTCTTTTCTTTAGGCACATGGGCCCTTCAAGGGTGATTTACCACAAACTTGAACACTAAGAGCTCGACCCGGAAGAGCTCGACCCGGAAAAGCCTAAATCTTAACCACTAAGTCAGGACCTGGATAGATAGACATTGTGTGTTTCGACGCGCGAGATCCGAAAATCTTGCCAGGATGTACGCATGTGTCGCGAGCATGGGGCAAGGGAACCACCAATGTCAGTGATGTTGACGTTCTGGACATCCCTGCAACACCCAAAGGTAGCTGCATGTTGGCTTACTTTCCGGGTTTGGCAACCCCCCCCCCCAAACATTGATTTCGACAAATTTGGGCGTCCCCAAAACACCCAATAGGTCGAAACATAAAAAGTTTAGCTTGTAAGTTGGCAAGACGACAAAGCAAAAGGTAACAAACATAACAAGAACCCGCATAAAACTCCGGACCCTCATCCCCATACACTTTTTAGCAAACTTAAACCCTAGACACGAACTTCAACACGTTCTTACCTTAAACCCTAAGCTCTCAAACCCTAAAGCCTAAACCAAAAAACTTTAAACCCTCAGCCCAAAACCTAAAACACCAAAACCTACAATGCAAAGGTTCCCAGTTTTCGGCCATGTCTCGCCCAGCTTCCTTCGCAGGTTGGGCGTAGGGACATAGGCGCAGGCCGATGATCATGGAGTCGACCTCTCAAGCTTCAACCATTGCTGTTGCCAGTTTGGGGTTTTAGGGTTCAGGGTTTTGGGCTTATAGGGTTTAGGGTTTAGGGTTCAGGTAGTACTTGTCATGGCTATTCACTTATGATTGTTCTAAGTTTAAGTATTAGTATTGGTATTAAATCGACCATCACTATCAATAGTAGTGTTAATATCAACATTCATAAAACTATTACTGGTCGTAGTAACATTAATACTAATATTAATATTTTTACAGTGATGCAACTTTTGATGTTCATGTTAGAGTACTAGTATCAAGAATACTCTTGCTGAGAGGAGTAATCATTGTAATGAAAAGATAAGACTAGTGATAGTTTGATAATACTAGTGATAGTAATAAAGTAACAGCAATATGGCTCTGAATATTGGTATGAATACTGCCATTACTGCTACGATTGCTAGCAGCATTAGTAGTTCTATCATTAACGTTATTATGGTTTTCTGTACTTGGATCATTGTTGTGATGCCGACGCTAAAGCAAGACACTATCAATTCCGTGTTGCCCTTGCTTACCGCCATCGCCCTGCCCCCCGCACCACGCTACAATCTACAACAATCTGTTCTACAAACCTAACGATTAGTGCAT